GGTAGGGAGTCTGGGTAACTGACGAGGGAACCTTATACTTACAGTAGTTATATTCTGGGACATAATTACTTAGTAGATCGTTTCTTCTGATCACCAGTCACTCTTCCTTCAGGATCAGGAGATCTTGTGATTAAGTGTCACCGAATTAATAGTCCATTTCTAGTTCCCGCTTCAAGATGATTTTAGGGCCTGGTGGTGTGCAATTCTCTGATCCTGCAAATGCTTCTGCAACAAATACACAAAACAAACCAAAGATCGGACAAGTCTAAGAAGTATTATGTTAGCTCAGTATGTTTACAAGGCTGGGATGTCAGCCAGATACTTAGACAGTTAGTACAAATGAGTAAGAGAATTATCTGGAAAAGGAAAGCTTCTCCAGTGGGTTTCCTATAAGGAGGAACTCTACTGAGAGGTATCCCTCTAAATGGGGATAGATTCTCAGAATTGTTTTCTTTTAAGAGCGGAGTAACTACCTCGACAGGGACTTCTGGCTTCTGACCCTCTGGAGTCTAAGATATTCTGAGACTTGAGAGGGGATTCTTAGGAGGTAGGAGCTTTATAGGTAGGTGACTCATTTTGAAAGGAGCAGCTCTTTTAAGAATAAATAATGTACAAATTTGTATCTCTCAAGCTATTAAAAGACAATAAAAGATAAATTGTAATCTATATTACCCAGTCTGAAACAGTAACTCATAAGATCTCATCTCAGAACTAGCCCAACGGATTCCTCATTTTCTCAAGTCAGAGACTCAAAATATTTGACGATTTGATTAGTCATCGTTTGTATACTAGAAATTTCGGGAAAGTATGCAACCGAACAATAAAAATGCTTATAAATTATGCGGAAATTGCCAGATCATGTGAAGTTTTCTGGTGCATGCTAAATTATGGGAAATGTTGCGCAACTGAAACACGTGATTCTTCCACCGCCGCAATTAGTCCCTTAGATCTGCTATGGTCGTAATACTTCCAGCGGTACCGTTGTGGTTTGTCAACGCTGAATATAGTGCCAGAGGCATATGATCTGATATTGCTACTGAGTTGTGCCAATGGATCCTTCTAGATCACAACATTGGCAATGAGCCATCCCGGATCTGTCCTCACCATTTCACTGCCCATTGGTACATTACTACTATTACTTGTTCAACAGTTTTATCTTCTGTTTGTCCATTACATAGTTTCTGTTGCGTGAAGAAGAGAATGCATGTACATGTTGCATTATTTTTTATACATAAGACCCCTGATAGCCTTTTTTCATTTTTTCGTCACTAATGCATATTCATAATCGGTCCCTAGATCCTACTATACATCTGAAGCCGTAGCTACTGAACAAAACACCAAGATGTCCAAAATTTTTGGTTAATTTTATGAGAAAATCAGATATCATGCAGATTGTGCCCAAATTTTGCGAAACATGCGGTAATGGTAAGTTATAGGATTCCACCACATCGAAATGTTGCCTCTTCCCTGCCTCAATTAGCCAGTACATACGTTGTGTGTGTTGTAACTTACATAATATGTTAGAGAGCTGAAGTGGACCAATTACGTCGATAATGAGACTAATTACCTCATATAATTTGACTAATTACCTCGGAAAATCAGCCTTCATCGTATCATCTAATGTAAGTGTAATGCACTTGTATACGACTGTGTGTATCTGTTATAGTTGTGTATTTCGCACTAACGTCAGATTCTACGAACTTGTATAGTACTCTTATCTTCCGTTTATCCGTTTCTCTGTTTCTCTTTAGTTGTACAAGACATTAATTATTGAATAAGGATGGAATTTCCTCGTTCATAATAGGAATATTTGGTCATAATACACCTACCCATCAGTTGGAAATAGGACCCGGTCGAAAGTACATGTTTCTTCTGAAATAACACCATTATTGACATGATTAAACCGGTTATGATTTCAGGTTTATGTCATCCCTGGTCAATTAATAATATGATTAGACGCTTATTGTCAACTTTGGGCAATACAGTCGCCAGCTCAGAACATCGTATAAATTATTTTACCGACATGAGTTCTTTGGTTAATTGGTACGTCTTCGATAACATTTTTGAGGTTTTCGTTAAATTATTTCAGAATTTCTTTTTTAAATTTGAAAATTCAATCGTTTTCTGTACTGGTATAGTCTGCTATACTGGTCTGCTATACAGTATACAGTGCGAACTGTTTCTCAGCTTTAAGTTTTTTTTCTTCAATACCCACACAGAATATTTTCTGCTTATTATGAACCTTTACATCTAGATTTCGGAGAAATTGTAGTCGGTCCTGCCATCACAATAAGAATATGTTTAATTATACGCTACAGGGCAACCCAGTCAGTTATATTGTTTGCAACTTTTACTCGGTTCATTGTACAGCTTGAAAGTTAGAGTAAAACATTCATAATGGAAATGGTGTTGACAATACAAATACAATTGACACTCTGCTAAACAAAAAGCCAGCACTGGGTGGGGCTGCCCACTGTAGGACTTTTACAAAAGATACAATTGTTGTCCTGCGTGCACTGTGCTAGAAATATCCTGCGCGTTCGTCTTCCCGAACTTTCTACTCCACCAGCTGCTCATTTTCCCGTTTTACCTACCCTCTAGCATCCGAAAGTTCAAGAATGTTTTTAAACGAGCTGTAGAAAGTTCGGGAAGAAGCAGGCAACCTGATGAAGTATACATCACCAGCTAGTACTCGCCTAACAAATGCAGCCAGCAGCGTGTACATTACTTTAACACTTCTAATTAACGCTATGTTCCTGTTGCTGCTGCTCGCTGTGCAATGCTATAACTCTCCCGTGTGGGTTGCGTTTCTTATATCCGTCTACTTTTATACAAGCAAATAATACTTAGTTTGGACGTTGGTTGTTTGACTGAAGTGGCGTTGTACCACATTGCCCTTGGCACACACATTATTCGCAAATTACCCACAATTACCTTTCAATTCACGTTAACAGTATATTATTATAATTATCAGCAGCCCTTATCAATAGACAGTTAACAGTATTGACGTCTTGAATTCTTGATTGACATCTTGATCAATCAATACAACATCTTTAATATAATATGTATATTGTATAATTGTATAAAGGTACCGATAGTCATGTATGTAATTGCTTATCGATTGCCTCAGATGTTTGACTGAATTGACACAGTTCCATCAGGAGTAGTTTACGAACAGCAGTAACCCTCGTCCCTCTATTATATATACATTATACTAGCAGGAACCCGTCTAACCCTAAAATGGTGTCAAGACTCAAGAGACTAAAACAATTATTACCTATTTAATTCGCGTTTTTGACACCACTTGGGGTACCAATTTTTGGGCTCTAAAACTCCTATTTCTTGGCCAATTTTTTATTTTTTCATGCTACTAGCTTTATCAATATACTCTATAATACCTTATCTTATCTTATCTTATCTTATGAGGATTCGTTGCGACGCAACAAGGCCATCGAATGAGTCGACCACCTTTGTTATTTTACTTCGGCATTACCTGCATTACAATGTAAACCAGCACTTTCAAGGAAGAGCTTTACAAGAAGCCGAAGGATCGTTCCTAAGGCCAGCAACGGTTACCGCATAATACTATTTCCGATAGAGGCTATAAACGACTATAATTACGTAGTCTTTGACCAGTATGTAATTCGAGAAGGTAATATATATAGAAATAAAATATATACCTACTATATTATAGCTTTATAGGTATATTTCTTTCTATAGCCTGCCTTACATTCTTATAACCATGCATCATACCCTTTTTTAGATAAGATATGACGTAGTTTTGCATTTTTATGAAATTAGAAAACTGGCAACAACAGAATAGGAGTTTAAATATATTGTATGACAGTTTTCTACATAGCCTTGTCCCTCGTTTGTGTGACAACATATTTTGAATAGTCGATTTAGCCTATTAACTTATTTTCAAAGAAATGTTGTTCTGAAATTTACATAATCAAGAGTGGGGCTAAGTGTCAGTACGAGATCTGCGATATGAGAATCACAGTCTTGGTGTGTGAATTCCGCGTTTAAGAGATGCTTCCAAATTTTGAATAGTTAAAATTGCTATACAGTTTCGTTAACTTGGTAGAATTTATCCTGTTCGATTTTGAAGCGTATTCGTCGGAATTAGTGGGATTGTGAGCAGAACAGATTTGATGGAATTTTCGTGAACTAATCATGAAAAAGTCAAAATCTTACCTTACAATTCATATCTCCTCTGCAGCTTATCGTTTTAGCGCCGGTTTTAAAGCCGTGCATTTTAAGATGGAATTTTACTGTGTAAAATGTGTAAAATGTGTAAAATGTGTAAAATGTGTAAAATGTGTAAATGTCTCATTCAATAAAGAATAAACCTAATATGAACTGTTGGAATTTCGGGCTGCAGAATGTACGTATAAATCAATTTTATTATAAGTAGATGCAACTTGCGCATTGCGCTCCATGACATGATCAGGCATTTATCTGTGTGTTCAATGATTCGGCATTTTTCTATGATTGCATTGATCATTGAGTTTTCCGGCAAATATCCTAACACAAATGGACTATGATCACTGTCATTGTCAGACTGTGAACTTTGTTTTATCGATATAATGCATTAAATTGTCTGGTGATAGAGAATTCAAGTTACCCAAAGAAAGTCTAGCTGCTGCATGTTGAGTCTGTCGCCAATACCAATCTCTAATCATTGTTGTGATATTTGATCAGCCTAAACGAGCTGTTTTTTATTGAGGTTGTAAATGAGGGATCGTTTGTCTTGTTATAAAGAAAAATTCTTAGAGATTAAAAAACGTACGGCTCATGTTAGCACGTGCTTTTATTTTCTCTTATCACATACTGCACGCTGTATTATGATCGTATAAGATTTGTTTTTTCCGTGTTGCTGTGCGTGGGCTCCGAATTTGCACCTATGGTAGAGTTTATTGTTTACTGTTTTCGTGGGTTAACAATATTTTCTCTTCATCGACTGCTGTGTTGCGGCATTTTAATGATGTCATCGATTTGGTATTTTCATTTTGAAGAAATGTGACAAGTTTTCCAAAAGACACGTTTGCCGACCGTTTACACTGATATCAGTACAGATCTTAAGTTTGTTTACCATTTACATAATCATATAATCTATATATTTGTCTCGATCAGAACAAGTTTAAAGTTATCGTGAGCTATTCCTGAAACTTTTTGTGCTATTTAAAACCAACCTCCAACCCTTCTAAACCCTGCGTTGTTGACAATCTACACAAAAATACTGATAAAATCTATCAATTACTAGTTAAATGTGAGAAACTAAAGATAATAATTGACTGACATTAACATTCAGACAAATCTGTCACCATGGCAACAAGTGCTTTGCACGTCACCTTCCTGTGGGAAGCCAGTAAGCCCAGCGAACGAATGATTGAACAGTACCACGAAATAGAGGTTAGATTCGATATCAGACCGACCCTTTCATTTGTATAGTCCTTTTACTTGTGTAGTCACTTGTGTAGTCACTTATACCAATCGTGGACTCAATACTACTGATTTTGGACACTGGACAGGCAAACAAATTCTAAACTGATGATTTGTATTCTCTAGACGGAGTTATCCCTGGCGGTAGACGATGCAGACCTTTTTAACTCCGAGGTTGGAGAGGATATCCTGAACGCTATGACCATGTACGACTTATTGGTGAGTAGTTCACATTTCATCAGATTGTTAATTAATTTTAACGCTCGTTTACGACTCTGTCATCAGTGACATTCAAGTGTGAGGTTCGGAAACAACATTCATGAATCTGGGTCACTTCTCGGATTACATCAGTAATTAGGAGCCTCGATTATCAGGGTTAACACACCAAATAGCACAATATATTTTCTGTCATACTGAAGTACGACTGTCCTACTGTTATACTGTAGTACTAATACTACTATTTCAGCCGCAAGCAGACGGAAGTATGACGAAGAATCGAATGGAGAATGCGATATGTTTCTGTGATGCGATGGCAGAGGTTTATCTGACTGTACCGGTTGAGAGACAGCCAACTCTCACTGATACCCTCTATAAAACCGGTTAGTTAAACGGGCAGATATTTTGTATTTTTAGTCGTCTGCATTTGAAGAAACTGACAGGCATACTGATAGGCGTTTGCGAAGGGTTATAGGGCGGAGTATGATCGGTGGCGTTATCATATTACGTCTTCGCAATTAAGAGAAGTCGGAAACTTACGGCAGTCCGACATCTTTGCATTGTAAATTCTTTTTGTACAATAAAAATGGAACTCATGACAAACTTGGAACCGAGCCAATTAACTTCCGGCATTTCTCGCATATTGATAGATTATCCACTTACAAGACCGTTCAATCTGAACACGTACAGGGTTAACAATGTCTCTTTTTAACACCTCTACCTCTACTCTATTTCTACCTACTTCTACCTCCCCCACACAGGTGTAACGGACGCTATTCTCTCCATTATGAGAGCTGACTACCCGACTCTAAAACCTGACGATATGTACCTCTTCTCAGCCTTACAGATGTGCAGTGCTACCCTCATAGTGTCCCTAGGAACCAAGAGAGCAGAGAACGACATCACCCGAACAGATTACTCTCACCAGAGGCTGTGCAGGCAGATCATCCCTGTTCTCCAACATATCGTGTATAACAGTCCTTGTCTTGCTACCGTTCTGGTGAGGATTCGTGTTTTATCGTTGGGTCTTAAATCAAGTTTTGAGTATAACAGCTGTGAATTGTGATCTCTCAAGCTTCTGGCTTGTTTGAACGTGGTAGCTGTATTAATATCACGACAGCCTTCGATCTATCTGATCTAAATTTCTCTGACTGATCTCTTCTTCAGGTGATGTTGAAGTATCTACTGGTGTTGGGTTCTACTCACAAGCCCTTTTTCAACGAGATCCTGGGGGAGTTCCACGGAGTTTTAGAAGAGTTTCTAAAACCAGGTGTGCCCCTTACTAACAAAAACCAAGCCTTTTTATTTTCTTGTATTTTGGTTTCTTTTTTAGATATGGAGACGTTATCATAAGATAAACATCGCTCCCCTCAGGAGTGCTGATAACACATTGGAACTCTAGGATCCCAGCCCGTCAGATCGAGCTGCTCAAGTCTCTAACCCCCTACATGCCTGGGGAGGTCAACTGTTTTGTCAACATCCTATCTTGGTTCATCTACGAGGTAGGAAATTAAGTCTCGCCTTAATTCAACTAAATAATCGATACTGCTGTCGCCCATGAGATATCATTAGTTGACGTTCGAAAAGATTTGTAAACGGGACATTTTGTTGGCGAATGCTGCACTGATAACATGTTGTCTTAAAATATTTCTCTATTTACAGATCCCATCTAGAGGAATGATCGAATCAGATTTGGACAAGATAATGGAAAAGGAAAGTTTGCTAGAAATTTACTGGAAGATCCTGAACGAGCCAATCCCGAGCACTTATTTCAGATACGCCAAGAGCAAGGTATGATCCTGTCGAGATATCTCGGGACAAATCATGTAAAAAATACTGGGAACTTGCCAACTAGTAATTTTATCGGTTTTCTAGCCTTGTGTCATGATTGAACAATGATATTCGTTTAATTTCTATAAAATCTCTTTAATATCATCATCACTAATTAATGATGTCCCACGACCCACATTCTTATATCTGCTTTATTCCAGGTGATGCTATTCTACAGCTCCCTTTGTGAAGAAGGGCCCCAGTACAGCAACAAGCTGATCGAGAAATTTGGTGTTTGCGGTTTTCTAGATAAGATTCTCCAAGATGTGCAGATCGACCAGAGATGCTACTTCCCACTATCCTGTCTGGTATGTTAAAAACTAAAATTATAGAATTTGTAATTCCCATCTCAAATTCATGAAAACTTGTCATGTTTGATAGTAGCCTATATACTTTACCATCATTGTTGATTCTGTCGTTAAACCCATACTTCACCAGGCCAAGAACATGATTATCTGCATGAACCCTCTCCACAAAGACAACTTGTACCCAATGGACAAAGCAGTGGAACTTATTTACGAGGACTATGGTAAAGATGACGGACTAGTACAGACAGAGGTTCTTCAGTACATGCCTGGTGAGTGTCATCGTCCGTTATCCACATATTCAGATATATTGAGCGCCCAATTTGACGATCGTTCTTCTAACCGTTAAAAATACTTTCCAACTTATTCAAATCACAGGTATGAAGAAAAGTATGCAGATTAAGGTTGGAAAACTTCTAACGGAGTTTGCTTTTGAGTTGAGAAACGCATTCATGTCAGAGTTCGCTATTACAGTAAGTTACTTAACAAGTTGTTATTTAATCAATACAAATGGAGAAGCTCATAATAAAGATAAACATATTGTAAAGCCGTTGAGGAAATTAATTTTATCGATAACATGAAAGTCACTAAAACTAAAATATCATTCACTAGACAGTCATTTATATTACTTCTTATCAGAACGAGAGAAAGAAAGTTAAGAAAACAAAGAGCTTCAAAGCAGTGCGATTCAGTGGAAGCGATCAGATAGATGATGTAATGGACCTTAAACCGGAAGATGAGAAGTCAACAAAGTCGCCAAAGAAAAGTAAGAAACAGAAACGGAAACAGAAACTGAAAGAAGAGCAGGAGTTAGAGAAAGCGAATGCAGAAGCTGAGATAGAAAAAGTTGAAGCAGAAAAAGAGAAGGCAGCACTTGAGAAACAACATAGTGAGGGAATCTTGACAAATGCTGTGGAAATCAAGCATACTACCTTACAGGTATTTAATCTTTATACTTAGTTTAGTTCGTTAATCCAGTTATATTAAATTACTAAATGGTCAATCGCAGGAATCTGATAAAAAGGTGCTGTTAAATATTGATTGAAAGCTAACCGCATATTAGTCACAAATCAGTTCTTGCAAATTATTGATCAATATATTGATCTCAGTTCGATTTTCTATATTCTTTAAACCCTTTAACTTTGCAGGGATATCTAGAGAATTTATATGGAGAAGAATACACCTTGTACCTACCCACTTTCGCTCAAAACGGTCTTTATCTCACCACGAAAAGAAAGGTTGGTACATTTTATAGGCTTTGCATTCTGCAATATTTACATCATTAACGTGAAGAACTTAATTTTCATCCCCCGCAAATATTTCTAAGATCATGTTCCTTACCCCATACCACCCAATTTCAGATATTCTACAACTGTTTGGAGGAGGTAGACAGAGAGCTAATGTCAGCTGTGTGTACAGTGTGCAACGCCGCCCTCAACAAGATCCAATGTAAAGCTTGTTCCTTCAAATACTGTTCCCCAGAGTGTCTCAACAAAGACACTAATGACCATACCACCTACTGTGACCTTAAAATCCTGGAGAGGTCGTTGCATGAAGCGGTTGTAAGCTAGTTTTAGTGGGATTTGTTTCTTTTTGTTGTTGCTATATTTAAACATTAAGTTAATTATGGTATGATGGTATGATCATGTACAGTTGATATATATATACACGGGATTGTCTATTTGGAAGAACCTCGGCTGTTGGAGGACACGTGAATATTTTGGAATACGCTAAATATCAACATTGAACAAGGATGAGGTGATAAACAGCTAATACTGGAGACAATGCCCAGTTCGAGAACAAGAACACAATCAGTGTAACAGTGTACAGGAGAGTTGTAATGTAGTTATGAAGATCTGTTAAGAGTAAATCATCATTAGTAATTAGTATTTTCTACTTATTTCAACTTTAATTGGTTGATATTGGTTAATTGGAGACGTAATTAAGGTTTGGATTAAGATTCCCGCAAGTATTGCTCGCATCACTGTTTACAATACGTATCACTTATTGTGTTGATCAATTCCGGTAACAATCTGCGTCCCCATCCGAATTAACCTTTATTATACATAGGATTTTTCATTTTATATTTGGTTTTGTAAAATTTTATGCTGGATGTAATCTGTATTTAAACTTTATTTGTTGACAAATTTATTTTATCAATCAAAATTTAATCTCGGATATTAAAAATTGGAATAAAGTGATTTTTGAGAAGGTATAGAAAAGCATGAACTCTTTCAGACAATAATACAAAGCAGGGAAAATAAAAACTGCCGATGGCCAGTACCCCCAATATCAATCTTAAAATCTAAAATAATTTACTAGAATTTTATGGTGATTTTACCGACATTTACTAAATAACCCTTCGGCCCATTCATATGATGTCCCATTTTAGACATTAAATCATCGCATCATTCAAATTCATGTTAAACCATAGTTATAAAATAACATAAAATGTTAAAGATAAAAAAATTACGATATATCAAAAATAAATTGGACCAAGTCCAAAACAATATTCAATGTTTATCTTGATGTATAATACACTGCCTCTGGCGATAACGCATCCTACACGTTAAGTTTGCTTGCTTTAAAAATAGTCCTCCTAATGAACAACAAGCAGAACTACAGACTGTAAATTTAAGCGAGTCAATCCAGAATCATTGTGGTTAGTGCAAATAGACGTCAGACCGCAAACAGGTTAAATAATTTTTATCAAAAAGTCACAGTAAGACACAAATAAAAATGATAATCTCTTAAATTTTTAAAGGTTGTGAGCGGAACCTCAAATCAAAATTATCAACGGGTGGAGTCTTAATTAGTCACAATATTATCAGTCACATCTCTCAATAGCGGTAAGCTTTAGATTTTAGACCTTGGTGAGCTCGACGTCCTCTGTTTCTTGATTCAAATATTCCCTCAAATCAGTGATTTTCTCGTCTATATCTCGTAGAGAATCCTGTAGGTTAAAGGTCAATACAATCTGAAATCTTGAACGAAAAAACGTAACGCTCCAAAATAGGAACAACTTAAAACACATCGAAGATAATACGGCGTGTTCTCGATAGATTGACAAACCTGGAGCCACTGGCAGCCGGTAAGGATGCTGCTGGTAACAAGAACAAGGTTGTCCAGAGCCAAAGACATGGCAACCAGTCGGGCATCACAGAGATCAGGGTCAGTAGGAGGTGATATTGAACCGAGATACTGGTTCATGGTCAGGTTCACCTGTAAAAATGTAATTACATAATCACCTGATAATCGATTAATTAAATCATGCATATATATTTATTATATTATGCAATGTCGAGCTAACGCGCCGCGCACTACTGTCTAGCGCTGAGAAAATAACAAAGATGTCTTCGCGCGTTCCGTTAAAGTAAGAATTTGACAGATCTGTCGAATAGTGACCGTTAATTTGCCAACATTTGTTAAATCATCATAAGTGAGATCATTTTGTTTATTAGTTTGGAGGTGTAAGTATCTAATCAGTATCTACCTTTCTGGCACTCATTACAACACCCCCCAATTCTTCATCGCAGTCGTAGTTTTCAACATTACACTTTATCTCGACCAGTAAATTTTTAATGTTCTGAAAATGTGATTAGGCGATTAGTAATTGTTCAGTGTAGATCGATATCAATCGAATGTAATTTGTCAAACAAATTAAATCCATTGCTATGGTTGGTTTATAAATGTCTAATTAAGTTATAATCACAAACTATACACAAAACAAAAAAAAGAGTCTAATGAGAAGCTGAGGATGGTCTTCTGAGAGGGGCTACTGGAATTGGAGACAGCTGATACTTTGCCAGAGCTTCAAACAAGAGCTCCTTGCTGCTCTTTCGCTGTGTTGATGAATGAAGTTCCAAGATATGAGAGGTGCTGTGCAAGACAGTACTTCTTCTGTGACTTGTAGTGAGACGTCTTCTTAAGAGAGAAGAAGTTCTGTTATCAGACATAGAACTGTTATCAGGCATAGGAGCTGGTTCCGTGGTTAATCTCCTCCTTTTGTCGGGAGGTGCAGAGTCAGAGCCCGAGGAAGGTCTCTTGTTGGGCTGCATGATGTCTACTATCAGTGAGAGAGGAACAGCAACGTAGATATCCTGTGTAAATGTAGGGAGAGGAGCATGGACTCTGAGTTTAGGGGATAGGTGTGGGGAGGCTGGAGGAGAATATACAGTAGTAGTGGTGAAGGGAGGGGTAGTGTTGCGGATGAGCCAGCTTTGTGGGGGCTGCTTGGTGGTGTAGGACGGGAAGCTGGTGTAGGCGGCAGGAGTTTTGAAGTAGGACATATTATCAGAGGATTGTGATTACAAGTGAGTAGGTAAAGAAGTGATGGTGATATTGGAGCCTTGAGGGGTTTAAGTAGGTAGGCTTGTCATGTGATACCATGTGATGTTTGTCAAGGAGTCAGACACAGTTTCATGTGCAAAGTGTGCAGGATAGATTGGGGACCATGTGATAAATCACATGGTACAGTTAGCCAGACCACGTGACAGATCAAGTTTCAGTAGATCACGTGATTAGTCACGTGACCATGACAAGCTGAGGTATTTAGAAGAATTCAGCACGTCATACTCAGTGAAATAGGAAACGATAATCACACGTATTTTACGAGACATTTTGGCTATGGTGAAAACATGAAAAACTAAAATATGTTCAGGCAAGAAATTACCAAAAAACAAGCCATCATAAATATCACTTCCAATAACTGTCTAAAAACTTAAACCTAATAAAAACCTCAACAACCTCGAGAAATAAACCACCAACGTTACACACCTTGAGGATGACAGTGCTTTTGTTGATGACTGGGAGGGGGTCTATCTGGTGTTCCATGGCAAACTCTTCAAGAACATCTGTCAACTCTTCTCCCTTTATTGACTGCAGCTCAACCGTGCTGTCCTCCCGTTGCAAGATGTTCCACCCTTTCATCCTTGATCTAGCAGATTGGAATTTATTATTATTTAACTATTCGCATATAAATACGAATAGTTAAATAATGATAAATTATGGATATCAAAATAATATAAATTTCAGTAGTTTCTTTACTATCGTGGACGAAAATGACGAGACTTGTTATAGAAACGTATAAAACAATAATAAATAATATGATCTCTGGCTCCATCCAATATATCATTTACACAAGATTTTATTTGTATTATTTACACTGCACATATTATGTATATTATATAGCACTCGTCTCTTAATCGCCAATAATTTGAACCTACAAATAAATAATTAAATTACGGCTTTTAACATGTAAATTACTGAAGAGTAAAAAATGTTCTGCTACTTACATACTATAATAATACATATCATAACATTTTTCTGTATGACAAAAATAAATGTTTCTGAGATAAATTAAACGTCTGAATTTACGTTAAGACGAAAGTGACCACGTGATCGGTGATAAGTAACGAGCTTCGTATTCAAATTATATAAACTTAATCAACCTATAGCTATCTGAAACAAAGTTAGACAAACGAAAATACCATGTCACATGTTTAATGTCTACAAGTTATCCATCCCTACAGAGAAGAAGTTACAGTTTTACTTTTGATATCTAAATCATACACAGCAACAAAGTTGCTGAAACCCGCTCCTATCACTATTTTGAGATAAGTAGCTGTTACGGCTTGTAAATCCAGGGAGTTACGTTGCATCTGTACACAGTCATCATCGAACATGTACGTTTTCATTGGTTCCCAAGAGTTGGGTTTGTCTTTAACTGACTTGAAGAGGGAGATGGTTTTGATGTAGGAGGAGGAGATGTGGAGGGTGAGGAGGTTCAAGACATGTCCCTTGAAGTGTAGGACTATTTCTTGTGGGAACGAGCCTGAGGTTAGGTGAGGTTAAGTTGGGTTAAGTGAGGTTAGGTGAGGTTACATTTCAGAATGACGTCTAGAAAGAAACGTGTCACAAGCATTTTCAGAAACTAGCACAACAGATAACATTACAACTATTCACGAAAGCAAATTATATGCACGACAAAAACCAGCTTAAAATTGTTAAGCACGTGACGTCACCTGTAGAAGAGAAGAGCTTGTTTTGTCGTGATTTGAGGAGGCAAAAAGCGGGAAAATGTGAACTGAGGGAGGTTGCGTACACGATGTTAGCAGTGTCACCCAGACATACCATACCACTAAGAGAACGTTATAGTTGAGATTACTGAGCGTACAGTTATGAGATTTAGTTGTTTCTCAATAAATACCTTTGAAGTGTCAATATATTTTATTAGTATTATTGCTCAGTGTTGACATGTTATCTACAAATTCTACATATACAGCTACTGTAGCTGACTAGTAACTATAGTCTAGACTTAGCAGTCTAGTCAAGACTATGTACAACTCAGTATACATAATATTAGCATTTTATACTAGGATATTATCACAATATTCTATAATTAGGGTGTTTGTCAACCTATTGTGGATTTTCCTTGGCAGGATGTCGTCGAACTTTTGTCAAAATTTCAAAAATCCACGTTGAGATAGCAGTATTTCAGTACTATCATAATTAAGCATTAATAAAACACTAAAAAGAGGTAAGACTTGTGCAATAAACTAGACTAAAGTATTGGAATTAGGATTATATAACTGGAATAAAACATTTTCCTTGGTAATATATTATTTAGGAAACAATTAAACAACAAAATGACTATATATTGTTATGCAAATCAATTGACAAATCAAAATATCCAAACCTATATTATTAACAATTACAAAACTACAACAAAAACTAACCACACTCTGAATAACAAACTTTAACTTTTCCGGATCTCAGATTTTCATATTTAAATATTGTACAGTGTTCTGAAATTGCCTGACTTTCTTAACCAAAAACAACGTAAAATGCGTCAAGAATTTCCCGCATCGAAATTACTGGAAAACAATCAGTCGAATCGAATTGTGCGAAAAAAATTCTATAAAAAAGGTGACCCTATATGTTTGTAACAGGTCTTTTTCCAGACGAAAACAGAATTGTTCGATGATCTCAATTGCAAAAAAAGCCATAATTTCAGCTCTTATTTAAAACTTAAGTAATGTTATACATAAACTTCACACCTTCAACCACAGCAGTTCATTCCGTTAATTAACACTTCATATAAGCGAGTATTATTTATTTAATATTATAACTACTGATATACACTATAACGCATTGACTACAAAATTGCTAAATCAACCGCATTAAATTACATAATCATTATTTAAAGTAAAGAAAGGAAATACATAATACTAACACGACAATAACAATCCCCTTTTTTATGCAACTTTTTGTTTCAGAGATAAAGAAAGAAAAGAAATGAGGTCAAGAGAGGATATGAACCGTGTACAAATTATTAGATGTTTTGCAGATCAACGCAAGAGGAAATAAACATTGCATGTCCTATAGGATCCTATAACATGTAACAGTAACTTTTCTCGAATAAATTTTGACTAAAAAGGGGCTGACTAAAAAAGGGCTGGGAGGATTAGGCCCATCCCAACCACATAATTGTCTAATTAAAGTAACCAAAAAGCCCATGAAAGTTGTGTTGTCCCATAATATGCTTCACTTGCCCAAAGAGAAAGAGAAAGAGAAAGAGAAAGCTCTCATGATGCCATCTCCAGATACATCTCCGGATCCTTGATCCCAATAAACATATTGCTGACAGTTGACTGGAAACTCACCGAACCGTTAGGATTAAACTTAACTTCAAACATCGTATCGTTACCTGGAGGACCCTGGACAACGTATGGGTTATTTGATTGGTACTGATGCATGTGACAACTATATCTAGTGAAACTAAAAGTCGAGCAACATGTTCTATGGAAGTTAAACATATCGATGGGAAGCATAATTGCCCAGTTACCCAATTAAGACGGAAGTTGATGTCTTTAAATAATGAGTTCATTATGGACCGCACTGCCAGTTCGGTTAACTTACAATTACAACGTTAGAATCTGTCGCCTTCATAAAGCCACCGTTTTTAGCATTTTCAAAGGAAAACATCATGAATCCAGTGGAAGTCACTTTCCAACCACAATCTTGTGTTACAGCCGCTGAAAATATTCAATCGTTTAACATGAGTGTAATATTTACGGCCAAAAGACGGACCACGAGGCATTATTCACAAAATTATCTAATATTTTACCGTCTTCTAAAAGCATTACTAGACGATTTGCTAAACGGTTTTTGTGGAAAGTAAAGAAACCGATCAACAATTTATTGAGTTATTCAGTATTTTCTAATTTCTACAGACGTAGACCGACAAAGAAATGCCAATAATAACATTTAAACAGGTCTCATAATTATACACAAACTTACGGGAAGTTTCGAGTTGGCCGCCGGAGGAACACATATACCCAATATTATTCTTCATCACCACAACTGATCTGAGAGAATGGTTTTTATCTATACTAATAATCCCAAAATGTGTATGTGTGTGTGTGTGTCTGTTTGTGTGTAATTTTCGAACGGCTTACGGGAAAACGGTAAGAGTTATGGGACTGGTTTTTTTGGTATAGTTTAGACAAAACTCTGACGAAGCCAATAAGCAAAGCTTTTCTAAATCGGCCGGTGGTAAGTGGTTTAATTGATGGTTTTGTACCCCAAAAATGGTACCCCATTTGCAGCTCCCCTAATTACAGCTCTGGTATATAATTAGGTAATTTGGCAGTAGAGCCAGGAGCCGCAATATTGCCTATTAAGGTTTACTATTGAATACGTGTTGGGCGCTCAGAATTAAATTGACTATAAGTATAATGCGGCCGATTTCGACTGGGCGAGTTCATGCTTTTGCACTGTTTATACTTTTGCAATTCAACTGCGAAAGTGAAGTCCCGGCCGAAGGCACGGGTTACAATAGTAATATAATATTGTCACCATTGCTTTAATTTAAAACTCTTAAATAACTGAGTTATAAAACAGATAAGATATTAAACACTCAGTCTAAGTTATTAAACAACAAATTTAAGTGTCAGAGTAAAACATCTCCCCGTCCTGCCTCTTCTTTCGCATAGCATAATTATACGAACTGGCATGGGTTATGATAACACATAATTGATACGACAAGTTGTTATTTGTTCTTTTTTGATTAACCTATGCGATTTTTAATCTCAGTTAGCAGGCTCAAAACGTCTCCTGGCAAACGCCGTACATCTATTAATTGTTAAACATAACGTTTGAATTAGAAATTATCATCTGTTTCCCGACTGCCTTAGTTAAGAAAGTAAATTATAAATATATTTAATAGCGTCAATACATTGATAAGGATGTCGTGTCAAATGTACGTTAATCTCATGCAGTGATGTGTAATGATGAGTGTTACACAAGAGAATACAGATCTCAATGAGTGCATGTGTTTTGTAAATTTGTTACCGTGCTCTCTTTGGGGGGCCGGGGGGGGGCCGGGGGCCGGGCTCGTTTACTAGTTAATATTCATCCTATACTACTTCTTTACTGCTATAAAACAAGTTAATATAATATTCACTGCACCACGACTAGGATGTACATTATAGAAATGTAAAAACATGTACTAGAGCGGTATTAGTACGGGAGTCACATCAATAAATTGCTAATTCACAGACAATCTGCTGATTACAAGATAACTAATCACTAAACGAATCATTAAATAACTAATATATAACTAATAATAACTAACTAATTAATAACTACTCCACTAATAACTGACCCCTCGTAAAGTAGAGCACCAGGAGGTATAGCGTACAGGCCCCCAGGTGAGGTGTCCATCGGTGGAGGAGGAGGAGGAGCGGAGTTGTAGTTAACATGAACAGCACCTGGCAGGAGGAGGGGGGTCAGTAAATCATCTTACTACTTTGGCAATCCCCGGTTCGAAATGAAGGGCACAGATTTAAGCGGTAAACAAAGTAATTTAGTATTATATTGCATCATATTACTTCTAGAGAGATAAATCTAGACTAATCTACGCTTTGGGCAAAAATAACAAAAGTTGTGTCACGGTGTCGCTACTGAGACATTAAAATCACATTACATAATATTATATATGCTAGGGTCCTATTCTCGAAGGAAAAATCTGGATCAATCACTTTGGGTATATATAACAAATAACAACATGAAACTACTATATATACCCAATAGTACTATAAAACTACTATACACCCAATAGTATATTTACCTGCAGCTGCACCAATAGTATATTTACCTGCAGCTGCACCAATAGTATATTTACCTGCAGCTGCACCAACAGTATATTTACCTGCAGCTGCACCAATAGTATATTTACCTGCAGCTGCACCAACAGTATATTTACCTGCAGCTGCACCAATAGTATATTTACCTGCAGCTGCACCAATAGTATATTTACCTGCAGCTGCACCAATAGTATATTTACCTGCAGCTGCACCAATAGTATATTTACCTGCAGCTGCACCAATAGTATATTTACCTGCAGCTGCACCAATAGTATATTTACCTGCAGCTGCACCAATAGTATATTTACCTGCAGCTGCACCAATAGTATATTTACCTGCAGCTGCACCAATAGGGGGAGGGCGAGGAGGTCCCGCGCTGTACCCGGGAGGTGCAGACGGTGCGCCAGGAATAGGGGCTGGTGCGTTGATCTGAGCGTGCAGTGTTACTGGAGCGTTGTTCACTGCGTGTAGCGGTGCTGATGTCTGGGAAAGTAGGCAGGGTAATTACTAATTGTTACTGGAGCGTTGTTCACTGCGTGTAGCGGCGCTGATGTCTGGGAAAGTAGGCAGGGTAATTACTAATTGTTACTGGAGCGTTGTCCACTGCGTGTAGCGGTGCTGATGTCTGGGAAAGTAGGCAGGGTAATTACTAATTGTTACTGGAGCGTTGTTCACTGCGTGTAGCGGTGCTGATGTCTGGGAAAGTGGACAGGGTAATTACTAATTGTTACTGGAGCGTTGTTCACTGCGTGCAGCGGTGCTGATGTCTGGGAAAGTAGGCAGGGTAATTACTAATTGTTACTGGAGCGTTGTTCACTGCGTGCAGCGGTGCTGATGTCTGGGAAAGTAGGCAGGGTAATTACTAATTGTTACTGGAGCGTTGTTCACTGCGCAGCGGTGCTGATGTCTGGGAAAGTAGGCAGGGTAATTACTAATTGTTACTGGAGCGTTGTTCACTGCGTGTAGCGGTGCTGATGTCTGGAAAAGTAGGCAGGGTAATTACTAATTGTGCGATTGTGTTCCAAGGGTTTTGAGATGTATCTTCTGTTTTTATCCTATTTCATTTTTAGAGATAATGAGAATACTATAATTGTACATACTACATATGATTTTATCGCAGTACAGTCTTTATCAAAACTGCTAAGAAACCTCGCTTCTTTATTAGGTGTAAATTTGTAAGCGTGAAGAAGTTCTAGGTATCATATTTCATCTCTATGGAATTCTATTTCTGGTTCTATAGAGAGCAGTTAGTATTAAAACTATAATGCTTTTGGACACGAAGGGAAACACACAACGTAATGCTAGTATTGAAACTATTTTCTTAATACAAGTCACGATGTAAACTGTTTTTAAAGAATATCACTGTTATAACTGAATACAATACACACACACAAGGCGTGTTTGCTGTATTGTTTACAATAGTGGCTGACTGAGGGTGTAACTATACATTGAGATACACTCGACTTAGAATTAGCTGATACAGTCATAATGCATAGTCATTTTCTCAACAAGGTAAAGTAACATAAAGTTAGGTATACTATAATATGTATCATATATGTAATTATATGTCATTATATGTCCAGTAAACCTAAGTGTTACTCTGCAGTGTCGCCTGAGACTTGTGTATCTCGGCTTCTGATAGGGTTTTGGAGGTCAACAACCCCAATTACATTGAGGGAGAAGAATGATGGTTTGTAGTCGGTCAATTCTTAGCTTATTGAGTTATTGAGCTACTTCAAGTCACAAGTAACGATATTATGAAATTTCTTTTCTCGACAGTAGTTTTGATCATCATCATCCCCACAATAATAACCACGATCATTGCATCTCATGCATGGAGATTGTGGGTGAATGATGGTCTATGACTCTATAACCCATCCTTCATTTTTTAGTTATTCAGGCTGTTGAGAGAACATTTAGAATCGTGTACAGCTTTCAATGAAATTTGTTAGACCTAGCCCCCAAGTCTGACAAAATTTAAGAACGAAAGTAAAAGTGAAAGCGAAACCAACCTTCTCCACAATAATCTCCCCCATTTCTTCAGGATGTATAAGAGTGGGAGTAGGTTTACCAGTCGGAGCAAATCCCAGGAACTGGTGAATTATCCCGTTAGAGATCTGGGTGTTTCTACGCAGCAGGATCCGACCGTCAGATTTACACTTGTCAACTTCCCACACCATCGAGGGGTTCTCAGTTTTACCTTGTTTCATCGTGTGGTTCACCTGAGAGAGGGGAAATCATAACAAAACTAATTTATCGAAAGTGAAACTGATCTATCTAATTCTAAAGTGTAACTGATCTATCTAAAGTGTAACTGTATTTCTATATAATCTTCTCTTTTGTCACTACTGTGCACGGTTACGAGAAAGGGTTATTCACGTCTCAAAGTATAATTCCTGTTATAGAGAATATCACGCTCTAAAAGAAGGTATTGCGAACAAAACTGGATTTATAATAACATTTCTTAATGTCACGAACAAAACTTGACGGGGTAGTCCGTGTCGACACAAATGTAATTATAAAACTTTCGGAATTTACAGCCAACAATATCATTCGATAAGCAAACATTATACTGATAATACGAAAACTTACCATGGCCCAAGTAATGTTATCCAAGGTAACACACAGCCATAGATTAGGGTACTTTGCCGACTGGAAAGCGTATCTCATGACTCCAAAACAGTGGTGAACTATCAGTTCGTCTGAAGGATCCCCGTTACCGTGGACTATACCGTTAGCCATTATAGCTAGGTATTTGCCTGTCACAGTACTTCGTAATCTGACTCTAGCTCGGTTCAGTAGTGCACCCTGAGAAGCGGAAAGTGACAGGTATTAGAGTATTAGAGGTATTAGAGGTATTAAGGTATTAGAGGTATTAGAGTATTAGAGGTATAAGATGTATTAGAGTGTGTATGTGATAGATTACACTTTACAAAGCATGGAAAATGGAAATAACCAATAAATTCTTCCACTTGTCAAATTTGAGATCAAAGTGTCTGGGTTTAACTGACAGCATGACGGAGCTGCTAGAGCTACTGGTGATTGTTACAGAGACGGTGAAAGTGAAAGTGAAATATTGTTTCGTACTCTAAGATTGTTTCTCTCAAAGTTCAGCTGAACTTCACCCTCTCCGACTGCTTTAGTGACAGCTTTCATTCCCATGTTCAACATGCCTGACAGCGAGCTCTTCGGTGCTTCTTGTTTTGCTACTTTTTCAACCTGAAATAGTGTAAGTAGTGTAAATTACAGTGTAAAATAACTCACTGATAAGAGCTGAAACATTCCTGAAATTGCTGTAGTTATTAGACTAGGTAATTATATTGAAATGAGTGTTTCCGTCTTAACACAGTGAGAATATTTCACCATCAAAACGTTAACAAATTTAGAATGTTAAAACTGGTTATCATAGTTTCAAAAGTGGGCGATGTTTTGCCTATCACTGCTTTCCCAACAATAACTCCCATATTATCAACTGGTTTTTGCGGCGTTTACTATAATATGTGAAATATGTAAAATATGTATAATATATGTGAACCAACCCTTATTATTACAGATCTTCAATTCCATGAAAGTAACAAAGTAATAGCAAACACTGGCCCGAAGTGGCCCGTATCAAACTGAACTACAATCCACGGTCGCGTCATATATATTATGGAAGAGGCGATTTTAAAATTGACCCTTCTAGACATGACGTTATACTGGCTGGTTGCCATCACCATACAAATTATGGGATGAAATTTGATACAGCATTGCCAAATATCTAAAAATGGAAACTTCTGGAAGGTGACATATTCTTGCTGAAAGTATAACTTGGCACTGGATAGTACAATTAGTAAATAATATGGGCTGTCCTTGTTAAACTGTGAAGTGGGGGGAAGAAGAATCACTTCGCCTCCGATATTCGACCCATATTATGGTGGTTCAGATAACTGTGGTTACCCCTAGTAACCCCCTGGTAACCCCCTTGTGAGTCAGGCCTGATAACGTCTGTGTACAGCTATACCAAGTAACAACCTATGCTCGCTACATTATAACATACATTATGATTTATAAAATTGCAAATCAGGTATTATCAACACAGTTTGTCAGTTCAATCTCATTTATTTTATTCCCAATGACACTTTCGAACTGTGTGTCAAGAATTTTGAGCAAGTCGATGAAGACGATCGCGATGACTGCACCAACACAAATAAAGAAAGTTCCCTCCCATGATGGTGTTTGGAGTTGTGACAGTAGTTGTACCCCCCCCCCCCCCCACAGTAGTCGTACCTGTCATTCCATTGAAACATACCGTAGAGGATTACTTTGTGCAAAGAATGTATTATGACCCGGATTATAATGACGTTTTATAGGTTTCCCTAGCAGAGCTAGACAGCTTTTATAGCAGAATTAGATATATCAAAATTATTAATGCTTTTTACACAAACAATTCGACAAATATTTTGACTAGCATGACTTGAATGGACTTATGATAAAAAGGAGACTTTATGTTCAGTCAGTAGTTCGGACATTGGAGTAGAAGGGTTGTCTAATTTTTATGGAATTTTTAATTTGTTCATGGAAATGATTGCATGTTCGTAGCTGTAAAAATCAGAAATTTTGGGAAAAGCAAAAATATTCAATTCACAATATTTGAACTTACAACTCTGACAGCGAACATTCTCTGTAACGGCGTAGAGTTCCCATTTAGAGGTATGATATTGCCAACTCTGTCAAAAGCAAGGAATTTGCCAGGATCAGCGCAAGCCTCGAACTCTATAGCACCGCTATCCTCGTGATAGTATACTCTTAGTGCTGCCTGCTGCTCACTCGCTCTGTACTGGGAAGGAAGAGTGTTACAGATCCTGCTGAGGTATAAAATGTGTAAATTTATATTGCTTTAAGAAATGCGAATGAGTTGAGTTAGCTAGAATCCTAGGCATTTATAAGAATCAAATATGTAAGATTTAAGGTCCGGTTAGTAAATGGTATAAGAGATTTTCTAATTTTGGTATATAATGACCGATATCAAGAATAAACAATAAAAATTAAACGCAAGTAATTATTCAGTATACATAACCATCATATCACTGAATTGACCACATTCATTAGTACCATTTAACCATTCAGTATTTGATTTCATGAACATAAATAACGTGGCCACATGAAATCGAGAAAATATAAAACTTTGTTCTATTGCTCTGTTATCTTGTCATTTTTCTTCTGCGTTATTCTTTAATACGTTACTTTAGCAATGAGACTGTTAGCTTTTCTTGTAGTCCTAGTAGTGTGCTACGGCGGGAGAGCCGAGGAAGAATGCAGAGCCGAAGAAATTGAAAAAAAGAATGCAGTGGAGCTGATTCACTATCTAAAACGGTGTGTATCAGACGGGAGACTCGCCAAAAGAAGCAGTCTAGACTACCAGAAGAGATGTGGATCAAGTATCCAGGAGCTGATCGAGGAGAGAAGTGCTGACGAAGTCATCACCTTCGTGACACGTTGTGGGTCTGGTTTACTGGAGAAGAGAGAGGAGATTGCGATGGAAATTGTAAAGAGATGTGGTACAGGCTTAGAAGAGCTCCAAAGACGTAGCACAGACGAAGTGGTAGAAGTAATGAAGAGGTGTGGCAGTAGCTTGTTGGAGGAGAGGAGTGATGTGGAGGAGGAGCTGCAGAGACGATGTGGGACAGGGATCCAGGACCTGCTAAACAAGAGGAACCTGGGAGAGGCTCTAAATGTGCTGAAACGGTGCGGTGGGATCCAGAACAGGGTAGGAAGAGAGTAGGAGGAGGAGGAGCAATGGCGGAGTAGTTCTGGCGGGGAGAACTGGGAAACAAACACTGGGTCTATGAACATTGTTTCTGATAACTCTCCAAGTTTAAAGATATATTCATTGTACATGAACTATCGAAGATGTTATTGATTAAACTTTTGTCGAAATTCTTTTCTTGTTACCGTGACCCTATTAATCAAGAGAAAAGATATTAAAGTACGATTAAGATTTACAATAACTGTGACACTGTTAATTGAATTAAAATGTATTTATCTAATATGTTGTGGGCAAAAATATCAATTTAAGTTTGTTTAGGCGATTCAATATTATCCTTTCATCAATAAAATACAGTGATTTTATTTTGTTGGTCCTACCGAATTAACAGTATGTTGAAAGGGCAAAAGTGATGATTCTATATTATATATAATGTATATAATGAGTCGGGAAGATTATGGTTTTAAACTTCAACTACCCATATTTAGTGTATATCCATCAGCGCACTGGTTTATTCTATGTGTCACATGACCACATGAAATAGAGGTGGTGTAAAATGATAAACTCAACTCCACAGTACACCCCTGCTATTGCACATAATTGCTGTTTACTGTATTACACTTTGTCAATGAAGTACTGTATTTTGTTTGTTGCTGTATTATCAGTATTTCACGGGCTGGTAGCTGCTGAGGAGGACTTGGAAAAAAGAGAAACCGAAGCGGAGATAGAAAAGAGATGCCATGGAGAATGGCACGGAGCACTGCTCAAGAAGCGGAGTTTGGGGGATATAGCTGAACTGAGTGTGATGCTGAAGAGATGCTTGATAGGGGGAGGTAGTGGTAAGCTTGAAAAGAGGGACGATGTTAAAGTAAAGAAAAGGTGCGCTGGTTGGATCGAGACTCACATTCAAGGGGGAAAACCATGTTACGAGTAAGATGAGAAAGTATATTATAATTAATATAGAGTCGGACAAACACAGGGTCAATGTTAATCTGCTAACTCCTTTAAAGAGATTCAAAATATCTTAGAATTATAATTATAATACATTATACATTATACATTATACATTATACATTATACATTATACATTATACATTATACATTATACATTATACATTATACATTATATATATACTACAACTTATATACTACAACTTCGCAAGATTCCATTGATTAAGATTGTTTTCGAGTCCTTACCTTTAGTTGCCGTGACCTCATCAATCAACAGGAAAGACAATATACGATCAACATTAATTGCAAGAAGTATGGAATACGAATTGAAACTCTTGAATGTTGGATCGAAATTTTATCAATTCAAGTATATATAAGATGTAAGCATTTCAATTTGATCATTTTCGTCAAAAATATTATGATTCTATTTTGTTGGTTCTACCGTACTATGTTAAAAGGAAAGTTCAGTGATAATTCAAAATGGAATGGTTAAATAATGGCTGAATAAAACAGGACTAGTATATTACCCATCCCAATTGTGAGATTACTGAAAATGGAGCAGATTCTATCCAGATACATGAACTATAGAGTAATTTTCGTTTAAACATTAAATTAACACTCTATGTGAATTAGGTTATGAGCTGCAGTGGCAAGCTTGTCTCTAACTAACATAATGATATCACTGTTTAGCAGTGTGATTAAATTAATATCAACATTTTTAGTAAATTTGAGAGCTCTTTGATGAATCTTCTGTACGATTGAATTGATAGGCCTTTTGAAAGTCATCAGCAGTAAAAAAGCTTAAGTGTATACATTGTACATCAAAATAAAACGTACAATCAAATCTTGATAAAGTTATACCGACAAGCACAGATGTGTAGTGTATACAAATTTCAATGTGTCACATGACCACATGAAAAATGAATGGTTGGAATGTAAAATGATAGATCACACTTAACCCGACCCCTGCTAGTGCAGTGCACATAATTGCTGTTTACTGTAGTACACTTTGGACCGATGAAATACTGTATTTTGCTTGTTGCTGTATTATCAGTATTTCACGGGCTGGTAGTTGCTGAGGACTTGGAAAAAAGAGAAACTGAAGCGGAGATAGAAAAGAGATGCCATGGAGAATGGCACGGAGCGCTGCTCAAGAAGCGGAGTTTGGGGGATATAGCTGAACTGAGTGTGATGCTGAAGAGATGCTTGATAGGGGGAGGTAGTGGTAAGCTTGAAAAGAGGGACGATGTTAAAGTAAAGAAAAGGTGTCATGGAGCATTTGATGTTAAATGTGTGATCGGAGGGACCCACGAGCAGTGATTTGATATTGAACTTTTAGAGGACCCCGACCCAGTGATAACTGATAAAAACGACCCTGTGAAAACTATGTACAGAATATCTAGTAAATAGCAGAATAGCTGAAATTTCTGTGACCATTCTTTTAAAATTTTTCGGAATTTCGCTGAATTGCACAACTTTCGTCTTGGTAGATTCCAAACACAAGGAAATTTTCCTTTTTGGTTGCTAATATATTCAAAGATGGGAGTACAATGTATTGGTTATGCCCCGCTTACTAGTTTAGCTCTATCTGGTCCCCTGCTACACGGCATGTAAACAAGGATTGGACAGTTAGAGGCGGTCAGTGTAGGCCATATACACTGTGCTTTCAGCTATACCTATTTATATAAATCTAAGACTATTATTTGGGAAATGCATTTTATCTTTTGTACCACATGTCATCATTTTGTTCCTTACAAACCCGATAGTGAAACCCTACGTGGAATCGTTTTGATAAAAGTACGATTAACCTTTAAACACTTATTTTTTCGGAAATTGTAGAATATTGTACTAGTTGACTGAAGTAAATGAGTAATAAACAGACAGTATGTCTTTTAACCCATCTTCTTGTGCTTCAGAATCATTATTTCACTCAGAAATACAGAAATGTTATACGGTTACGTTTCAATATCTTAATTATTTAACAGATATTGTATTGAGGTTCTATATTAGAAGTTCTAATGCGTAGTAAACAACATATCAATCACGGCATAATATAAGAATAATATAAGAATCATGTTCCATAGATCACCTATGTTTACGGCACCACAAAAGGTTGCATGAAGGCCTGAAATGATTAACCTTACCCATTAACGAGTTATTTCAAGAGCTTAAACCATGGCCATTACCCAATCTGAAAAGATATTTAACGGCTGATTCTGGCAGAATACTTACTAAGCACTGAAATATAGCCAAACTTTACTAAACTGACAATTGGTAATTCAAATAAACTTACCCCGTACAGATAGCCAGCATTAGCGCCAATAATATGTCCGGTTAGAGGACACTGTAACATCACTGCTGATCCCAACTGAAGATGAAAGATGTATCTTCAACCTTTTCATATCAGCATGTATAGTTTAATCAAATGGATAGTTTTTTTGAAGTCCGAGATACAGTCCATGATAATAAGTAGGCGCAGTTTATATCTCCGCCAAAAGCACATGAAATCGAGATAAATTATTTTGCAATGTATACAGAGTTAATATATGCACTTATACAAATCACTTGGAATAATTTTGAAAGAGAATAACAAGCTCAAAAACGCTACTGACGTATTTCTCCATAAAAAGCACAATAGCGTAGGAAGCTTTTGTCGAGGTGCCTCGAAAGTGATCTTAAATGATTCCCCGTTCAATTTTGGTCGAGGAACGCCAACTTAGTGCATAATCAAGCAAGTTATAGACATATTTCATACGTATCAAATTGGATGTGCTTTTGGCGGAGATATAACGTGTGCCTAATAAGTAACACCATAACAGTATGCAAAACTGATTATGTTAAGAACACATTAAAAAGTGAAAATCAATACCTGAGAAACAACGAATTTATCTCCACAGTTGTAATTATTTGCAGCATTTGCTCTGAGAGCACCTGTCGGCTCCATTAGTACAGCCTGATAGAAAATAAATAGAAAATAATAACAATAGGACATGTTCATACACAACTGCATTGGAGCCTGTAGAATCCCCTAATGACTAATTATTTCCAAATTAACTTTTTAATTGTTTACTTTACATCTGTTAGCTATGGGTAGGTATTATATATCTATTGAATATTCAAATTATTCATGATAACATAAATATTTCAATTAAGCAAAACTTCAACACTAATATTGAGACAATCAAAAATGTTCTATTCTAGCATTGAACCAACCTTAGAGGAGCCAAGGCTAACAATTTCCACTTTAGCACCATGTTTTAGAGGTGTTTTTCCGAATGGGGGAGTAGCAGTCTGAAACAAAAATGTGGTTATTCTTGACAAATAACATAATAAAATCATGCCAACATTACATTGAATATCCAATTGAGTTAATATATTATCAACAATACGAAGTTCATTCTATAAAGCGTTATACACAGCAATATTTCAACAGCATTACTTACTGGCACTTTCACAACTCTTGCCATCCCTAGCAAAGATTTAACATTCATTAATCATAAATATATCATAAAATATCAATAGGTATAGGTGTGACCATTAAAACTGATTGCATGGACAACATTCTGTCATTGACGCTTATCTAGCATATTGAAAATAAAGCGAAATTATTAATATATAAGGGCTATGTAGCTAGTGGGTTGGTTAGAGCATCGCCTAGCTGAGGATCTGTTGGATCTATGCAAAATTACGCATTTGTGTTATGAATTCTCCTTCGAGTGTTTGTTGACTCGGCAAATTTTGCAAAAAATGAATGCAGAATGAAAAAGATAAAACTGTATCAAGTGGATATTTCTCAGAAAAGAAAAATTGAGATGTGTACGATACGAATATTTTTAGGTTGATTGAATACATCTGCAAAATTTTAGGCAGTATCTAGATAGCCCGACCCCTGTCCACGGACAACTGTCCCCGGACAACTGTCCACGAAAAACTGTCCACAAACAACTGTCCATGAACAACTGTCCACGAACAACTGTCCACGAACAACTGTCCACGAACAACTGTCCACGAACATCTGTCTACCAGATCATATGATCGCAAATGTTATGAAATTGAATGGTATGTATGGTATCTTGGATGCAATTAGTTACGACTAGCATAATTAATTGTAGCGTAGTCAATTACTGGATTAAACTATTGATTACGATTCAAATGTGGTCTCTTGGATATAACTAGTTACGAATAATATTGATTGTAGCGTATTATATGGCTCAATGAAATAAATGATTACGATTTAAATGTGGTATATAAGCCGTTTTTTTTGTGAAGTATTATCAGTATCATCAACAACAACAACTCCTGACATGGTACTCTTTTGTCTAATGGACGAAATTAATGGACCCACGGCCTCCCTAGAGAATGCTCGAGACTTCCTATTCCAGAAAAACCTCCTAAAGAGCTCCATGTCCTGTCCTGGGTGTAACGCATCTATGTCCCTGGTTCCCTGCTCGTCCTCGAAGTCTCCAGATGGACTGATATGGCGCTGCTCCCCCTGCAAGAAGAACAAAAATATCAGAACAGACAGCATCCTCTCTGGACAGAAGCTCGCTCTCAAGACCTTTTTACAGCTTGTATCACGTTGCGACCCCCACGGTCGTTTCACTATGGTCCTATGGTCCTATCGTCCTGACGATACAGGGGGAGCCGCGCACTTCGTGTCCCTGGTTCGTGCGCGGCGGGTCATACAACGTATGACAATTTACAGCTGCTGTTCTGTTTGAGTATAAAAGGACTAGCTGGCATTACGATATCACAGATGACGTTTTACCAGCTTGAGTCCACTTTTCGAGAGGCGAGATAGGTTTGCAGATAGGGTCGCAGGGTAGGGCTGAGTTCATCCGTTTCGTTTTCTCTGAGACCATAGTTGTAGTTGTTCAAGATACTGTTATTATGCAGTAATATGATCTGGTAGACAGTTGTCCGTGGACAGTTGTCCGCGGACAGAGGTCGGGCTATCTATACTAGATACTGCCAAATTTTATGCACAGAAATATACAAGTATGCAGGCAAAATTGTCATATTCAAAATTCTAAAAAACCAATTAGGCTTATTCTAGCAGTTTTGACACGACAATTTACTCTAAATCGCTGGAGACTACTTTTAATCGATTCAATGGTCAAAATTACGTCAAAATAAGATGATTTTTACGATTCTAAGGTATTGAACAGATAATCCCTTACTTTAACGGGGGCCACCTAACAGCTAATTAGGGCCAAACAAACTGTGATGGACCGATAGTAGTACAAGTAAATTCTGTAGAAGTATCGGTAGAGTTAACAGTGGCATAACGTTGCCTGTTGGCACCCCTCAAAATAACACTTAAATAACTATTTTCAAAATCAATCAATAACAATCCAGTATCAATCGATTAGGTTTTAATATAAAAGTGGAGTGAGTTTTGATAGTTCACTATTGACTATGAATATTGAATATTAAGAAAAAAATGAGATTTTGAAGACTCTGAACTTTTTTTGGTGGATTTATGAAAACATTGCAACAAAAATACGATTAGATTCACGCTTAAAGTACTTAAAAATTAAACACTGAGAAATTAAAACGTCAGGCGTTACACTGAAATTATGAATCAAGACGCTCAATTTTTGTTGTACGGTGCAAGACATTCAATATACGCGCGGCGCGCATCAAATTTCCAAATAAAATTATTTTACTTCGCCATTTGTGCATTGTGTGTCGTTTCCTCCATGTGCATGAATTTTATTTTTCCTCTACGCGAAAAGTGAGCACTAGTTTAGCTTGATTCACGATGTCAATCCTTCGCATCTCGCCGATCTGCATCAGCATTATTGGATGCGCGCGCGCGACCCAGTAGCGCATCGCGCTACAATAGTTTAGCAAATAAAATAAAAATTGTTTAGCTCCATGTTGACCATTGTTAATGGTCTGGCCCGGCGCGCGCTACTTCGAAGAAATTTAAACGAGAAACATCCGTCAAAGCTCCATGCTTTGAAGGACTTCGCCGCTTCGACGCGCCGCGCAAACTAGCATTCTTGCTTCGCAGAGCAACGATCTCGATGGGTTGACACCGTCAATCAACTCCATGCTTAACTTACTTATTTCATGATTTATGTTTTGTGTTTCAATATTTTGGGAGAAGTGAAATTAATGCGCGCGGAGGAAATTCCGCGCTGGGTAAGTAATAAAACCAAAATAGTTTAAACAATTACTTTTATGATTCTTCATTTAATGATATAATTAACTCTTTTTGTGAACATGTTGGACTATTTAGTAAAATTAATACGAAACGGAAATTTGAGTTATTTAAAAAACAACAAGTGGCCGTAGAAATATAATTTTTGTATTGTTATGTGTTTGGTGTGACTAATTTATAAATCATGATGTTCCTCATTCAATTATTTTCAAACGTAGGTCGAATTCACAATATCACAAAGTTTTAATTCCATTAATTGTAGCGCGATGCACTACTGGGTCGCGCGCGCATCCAATAATGCTTCTCGCAACCACAGTAGCATCGGCGGGATACACCACTGGGCCTCGCTGAGCTAGGAAGGATTGACATCGTGAATCAATTCCATTAATTACCATTAATTAAATTGAATTAATTATATAATGAGTACGTGTCTTATCTCATGGTTAAAATTACCATTACCGAATTTATTCGTGTGATTATAAAGTAAGAAAATTCATTCAAACATGAATAACATATACAAATAAATTTAGCAATGGTAATTCTTTAACTGTACAGATTAAAAACCTTAAAGTATAAATGCATTCCTCTCATCAGCTATATTGTCTTTTGGCAGCACGCTTGAATCATGAGTTGTCCTGTTTGCCGTGTTTTATTTTGTATTATCATCCCCTTTATTAGCGTATTCATTTAGGTTATAAATAGGTTGTAACACACACCACTAATTGTTAAGGGAAACTCATGAGCTTAATTGTTTTATTTTGAGTATGCACCTTAGCTTTCTGTAAACAAATTTCGAATTGTTTTTTGTTATGGTGTCAACTTTCTAGCGCTTGCAGCCGAAAGTTCGTGAAATTCCTACTTACTGCCTGTAGGCATGAAGTGGTAATAATACTTATGATACTTGTTTCCTTGGGAGCAGAAGAGTAACCCCATGTGACATGATTTACGATAATCAGACTGTGTTTGTCTTAAGACAGTAGTGGTGTTGAGGAATGGTCATCAGAGAACTTAACATCGGATTTGTATTATCCATGTCATTTCATCATGACACATTTTTGGAATGTTTCAAATGAAGTTCAATTAATTGCAAGTTCAATACCCGCTGTCTACCTAGTCGTGGGGTGAGCGTCGTCGACGTTCTGCTAAGGATCCCACAGGATTTATGCAGCCTCCCGGTCCACCCAGCCGAATGCTCGAGAAATCGTGTGTGCGGGTTAAATGGGGAGCTGTGCAATATAGTACAGCGAAAAAGCAAAAACTCAATGGATGGTTACCGTAATGGGTGCCACATGCCTAGCATGAAATATTTACCTACTTACTTGCACTTGTGTAGGTCTGTAGAAGTAAGGTTTTTTTTTTCTGGGTGCCACAGACCCACCCAATGGTGCTGACTTTTTTGGTTTAAAGACCCACTTTTCCATTGAATTTGGCTCGCTGGCTGAGCTGCGCTTGCAGTAACAGTTCACCACCAAATTTTTTAATCCAATTTTTTGAACTTTCCCTATCAACAATCTTAGAGATTGGACTAAATATTACATTCCATAATTTAGGACTTGAAGTTGATGACCTTCTTCCGTCAGAATAATTATATGTACTATTCATATATATGCAATATTCCACCACATTTTGGTTGATAATCGGATTTCCAAAGTCCACTCATAACTTACAAATACCCCTTAAAATGCTGGCTTTATACTTATAGTATAAAGATGTAGGTATAGGTCAGGGACGTAGCCAGGATTTTTATTTGAGGGGGGCTGTCGGCGAGCGAAGCGAGCCGATGCGTCTAATCCAGCTGCGCAGCGAGCGAAGCGAGCAAGCTGTGGCAGGGGTCTGGGGACGCAGCCCCCCGGAAAATTTTGGCGAAACAGGGTGTTTTAGACGACATTTGGCATTAAAGAAATTTGTAGGACAGCAATAAACTGAGATTGAAAAGAATCAAGTACTCACGTACAGGGAAGTAGCCAGGATTTTTCTTAGAGGGGGGCTGTCGGCTCGCTTCGCTCGCCGACGTGTCCAATCCAGCTGTGCAGCGAGCGAAGCGAGCAAGCTGTGGCAGGGGTCTGGGGGCGCAGCCCCCTGCAGGGTCCAGGGGCGGAGCCCCTTGGCGGGGGCTAGGGGGGCGCAGCCCCCCGGAAAATTTTTGCGAAACAGGGTGTTTTAGAGGGGGGGGGGGTGACATGTCTCCAATGTCTCCAATGTCTTTTGTCTTTTTTGAAAAGATAGGGTGCAGAGACATGTCCTGGAGACATTGGAGACATTGGAGACACAGCTTTTGGAGACATTGGAGACATTGGG